AATAAAAAACTTAATTGATTAAAGATACAAATTTATTAATTAATAATTAAATAATATATAGTTATTTTTATATAAAAATTGTTACTTTTCATACCTTAATTAATTTTTGTGTATCGTGTTAATATTTAAATATCAACAATTATAATTAATTTAATTCTAAATAATTTAAAGAAATGCGTTAAATATAATTTTCAAAGTCAAATAGAAAAGTTATGACAATTTTTATGAATATATACAGTTGTATTTTATTAAAAATTATATATATATTAATGTCATAATGAATAATATTTTGGAATGTTGTGTAACATCATTTTCTTAAATATTTCATTAATAATAAAAATTTTTATTATATTTTATCGTATACAGATTTTATAAAGTTTATACACGTTTATAACGTTAACCGAATAATCAAAAATGTCGCTCGTAGAAAAATAATCGAGAGTATCGTATTGTTTCAACCATCGATAAATATTATCGATGTTTTACTGTTTACTTAATTCGCACACATACGATATTGCTTTAGATAATCCACTTGATCGTGCAATCGTTGACAGCTTTTTCGTAAGTACATTGTTGTTCTAAGTCACAGTAAAGTTCACTTTGTGATTACGCAAAGAAATAGTGCATAATAGGAATATATTATAATAGGTACAAAAATATGATTACTCTTATGTAAATGAACTGTTAACTTTCATATTGGTTGCTTTCACATTCGAATTGTATATATAATAACTTAGTTTTGCAGTATGTTCATTTACAATATGTGTATATTTCTTCAAAAATAAATAATTTCAATTTATAGAAAAAATTAACTAAAATATTTATTGTTACAAATAAAACACGTATTTTTGTAACAGAAATATTAAAACTATTATTGATAACAATTTCAATTAAATTTCATTATTCAATACAAACTTTTAGTTCTTTATTGCTACAAATACATTTTATATATTCATTTTGAGTTTTAAAAATAGCATTTTTGTTTAATAGTTCTGTTTTTACATATAATTTAAAAATATTTTGCATTAAGTTTTATATTTAAAATTTAATATAAAAATATTTTTCTTTGTTCTAGCTATATATGAAATGATATGTATAAAATATCTATACAATTCCTAATTGTATAATTTAATAATAAAGTCACAGAAAAATATATATTGGTATATATATAATATAGTATGTATATAATATGTACAATAAACAATTTAAATTTCTACACAAATGATTATACTACATCAATAAATGAAATTTGTTGTACTATTAAAATATATAACATAAAGATAAAATATGGCAGGGAGTGGATCTATCATAATACCAAACATAACACAATTACATGAGAATGATCATGCTTCTGCTTCTAACATAGATTATTCTAGTATCAGAGGAAAGGTAAATTTTCTTGTATATTTTCTTTTTACAAATATATTGTCTTATAATATTAACAAATTGATTATAATGAATTCCAGAATGTTTTAGTTAGTCCATCGGAAGATCAATATGAACTGTTACTTAGACGCTTAAGGGATAGAATTCAAGATGGTGGCAGCGAAACAATATTTGATATTGGTATTGGTGAAGGTTTGTATTTAATCATTACAATGTCTAACTTTTTGTAAAAGCATATATGATTTGTTTTATTTCAGATGGTTCAGAAGATGGCTTGAAAGAAGATGAATATGAAGCATCTGTTGCTACTTTACAGTCTCTGGCTGCAACATTAGAAGCAGATTGTGTGCTTTTACGTCAGAGTAAAGTAGATCAAGGCCTTATAGGACAATATTTAGTTCGAAGACGTTTAGATAGACAGGATTTCTTAGAAATTAGGTTTCTGTTTTAACTAATATAGATAATATCAAAATAAATATAATAATACTAAAAAAACATAATTTAATAGATCTTGATTACAGAGTGGCTGTTGTTGGAAATGTTGATGCTGGAAAATCAACACTACTGGGTGTATTAACACATGGAGAACTTGATAATGGTCGAGGCCTGGCACGTCAGAAATTATTTCGTCATAAACATGAAGCTGAAACTGGGCGTACTAGTTCAGTTGGAAATGATATTCTGGGATTTGATAGTATTGGTATAGAGATAAAATTATTGGGTCAAATATTATATATTATATATTCCATAATATGTATGCAATATATTTTTTAGGTAATGTAGTAAATAAACCAGAACATGGATCTTTGGACTGGGTTAAAATATGTGAGAAATCTTCTAAAGTTATTACATTTATTGATCTTGCTGGGCATGAAAGATATTTAAAAACCACTGTTTTTGGAATGACAGGTCATGCTCCTGATTTTGGTAAACCTATTAAATATTAATATTAATTTTGTGTAAAAAGAAAAATATATATATATTTATTTCAGTGTATTATTTTCTTAATACTTGTTTAGGTATGTTAATGGTAGGAGCAAATGCCGGTATTGTTGGAATGACAAAAGAACATCTAGGTTTAGCCTTAGCTCTATCAGTTCCAGTATTCGTTGTAGTTACTAAAATTGATATGTGTCCACCAAATATATTACAAGAAAATTTAAAACTGTTAATAAGGATTTTAAAGTCCCCTGGTTGTAGGAAAGTGCCTGTCACTGTGAAAACACCTGATGATGTTGTTGTTAGTGCTACTAATTTTGTATCAGAACGGTCAGTTTTTATTTCTTCATAATATTATTATTTTTATACAAGTATATAAGTACTTAAGTTTTTAATATATTTATGCAGATTATGTCCCATATTTCAAGTATCCAATGTAACAGGAGAAAATTTAAATCTTCTTAAAATGTTTCTAAATTTACTAACTGCAAGAATGATTAGTCATGAAGATGAACCAGCAGAATTCCAAATAGATGATACATATTCAGTACCAGTAACTATCATATATTAAAAATTATATATTAAAAATTTTTATTTACGAATGAAAAATTGATTTTTTTCAGGGAGTTGGTACTGTAGTTTCTGGAACAACATTAAAAGGTGTTATAAAATTAAATGATACCCTACTATTAGGACCCGATCCCTTAGGTCGTTTTATTCCAATTGCAGTAAAAAGTATACATAGAAAAAGAATGCCTGTTCGTGAAGTAAGAGGTGGTCAAACTGCTAGTTTTGCATTGAAGAAAATTAAAAGATCACATATTAGAAAAGGTATGGTAATGGTTGCACAAGTATTAAATCCACAGGCTTGTTGGGAATTTGAAGGTGAAATTCTTGTACTGCATCATCCTACAACAATAAGTTCTTGTTACCAAGCAATGGGTAATACTTCTTTTTTATCTGAATTTTATTTTCTAATTCATTATATTCTTATATTTAGAGTTATTTAAAATCATTTTCAGTACACTGTGGAAGTATAAGACAAACGGCATCCATAATTTCTATGTCACGAGATTGTTTAAGAACAGGAGACAAAGCTTTAGTCCGCTTCAGATTTATAAAACATCCTGAATATATAAAACCAGGACAAAGAATGGTATTTCGAGAAGGACGCACTAAAGCAGTAGGCAATGTAGTCAAATTTATTCCATATTCTAATACTACAGTTTTTTCAACATGCAGAGTTAATAAACCAAATAAAGCAAAAACATCTCAAAATCGACAAAGCTCTTCATCTACGATGCAAGTAAGTAATAAAAATATGTACTATCCTCATATAAAAATATGAGAATTTCACATAAAGGTAAATATATTTCTATATGTTTTAAGTATATTAATAATAAATTTTTGCATTAGTCATTAAATACAACCGAAACAAATTCTCCATTTGAAGGACAGACATCAAAGCAAGAAAATTTGCTTCAAAAATCTAATAAACGTCAAAATAAAAAAGGTAGAGGATGAAGGGGAGGATGATCTCATAATACTGTAAGCAGTATTATTTACTCTCTATCAGAACAAAATCCTCTTATAAAACTATAAACTGTTTTATATACAAAACTTTAAAACATGTATATACAAATACATCATGTATACATATTATTTTATGATTTTTGGAAAGTAATAATTGAGATCTCTTTTATTCTTAAAATCTTCATTCTTTTCTCAATATCCAGAATTAAATTAAAAAGTTACATATATTTTTTAATTAATTTTTGAGAACTGTAAAAAACAATGTTTAAATATATAAAACATGTATTATTTTAATAATTATTTATAATCAAACATGTATAAAATTCCATATAATAGCAATTTTATATAATTCGGACCTATTTATATTCTTAAAGATTGTGATCTTTGCCTTAAACTATAGAAAGAACCCCTAAACTTATATATTACGTACATCGTGCTTTCAAACTTATTAGAGTACAAATTGTCTTTCACATTTTGACTAAATTATCGAAAATTTAAGGTCGTTTGTAAAACGTATGAAAAAATATACGTTGTTATTCATAAAGTGTTTTATTTTTATATATACAAGTGTATCTTTAAATAATAAGTAAATATAATCTATATACACAATCTATATGTTTCTTTTTACTTTTTATTTATTACTTATATTATAATGATTAACGTTTTGTAAGAAATTTCGTCAAAAATATATTTAGATAAAAGTATATTACGACAAAATTAAAAAAAAAAAATTATTAATTTATTCAATTTTGTATACTATTCTTATAAACAACCTATAAAATATTGGTTGTAATATATTTACCGTATTCATAAGGAAAAATTCATCTTATGCTAGTGGAAAAAATAAATTTTTGCAAACGAAAAATTAAGAAGAAAACTTATTTCTCACATTGTAAAAATTGTTTATATTAAATATACTGATAGAGATTTAAAAACAATAGAAAAAGAATGCATATAATGCATAAACGAATTTCAAAGAAAAGATTAAATAAAAGGCACAAATATTGAGAAAATAATATTTATAACTCAATAATATGACAAACAGTTTAAGACAATAAGAAAAATATTAAGTTGTCATTATGTTACATTGTAATTACTAATTATAATTTATTAATATAAAAATAAGATTATTATTAAATTTGATGTATATATAATCTATTATGTCATTCTTATTTATTATGGTGTAAAAAAGATAATAAGCATACAAAAGTAAAGTTTAAGTTTGCTTTTACAATAAATAAAATAAATTTTTGAAACTTAATCTTCACATCTTTTATTATTTATAAAGTAATTACTACATATCAAATTTTCTTTAACTAAATCAAATGTACAATTCTATCTATAACATTTTTATAAAGATTATTTTGGTGAATTTTTCTTCTGCTCATCTTTTGCTTCTTTTAATTTTTTTTCATATGTCTGTATAAAATTTCTTAATCGCTCAAGAAATTTATCACGATCAAAAGGTAAATAAATGCCATGTGTTTTACTTTTAAGTATCAAATGTGCTACAAACTGTGCAGATCGTCTAATTGGTTTTGTATTTGATAACTTATCAATTAAACTTTCATTACGTAAAAAATATGCAAATAGCATACGCAGAAAACCCATATTAATATAATTTGTTTTCCTAACAGAATTAATGAAGGTATTTATATTTTTGGAATTTCAAATGTACACATGTTACGATACTTCAATAACAATTCCCGCTTAAGCCTAAGCTGTTTACGTAAAGTTTCAAGTTTTTGCAACTGTTCTTCTTTACTATATTCAATTCCTGGTAACCTTCTAATCTATAAAACATGAAAACTATATTATACAACTATAATGTGTAATTATAATATAAATATATTTATGTACATTATTTATATTATTGCCTTTTTTAAAAAAATACATGATATATATGTAATACTTTACTTTAAACATATTATTAGCATACATTATTCACACATATTTATAAATTATTATTTACTTAGAAAATTTCATATTTTATAACCTGTGCACATATGTACCTGTGCTCTTGCAGAATCTAATTTCTTTTGAAGCTCTAATATTTTATGACTCGTATCTTGTGACTCTTTAGCTTTTTGTGTAGTATCATGTGGATCTTTTTCAACACTAACAATAAATTAAATACACGTATAACAAAAATATTGCATAATAAACTTTCTAAAAACAATAATTACATCAATAAGTTTTATTTAAATATTTTGGTGTAAGGTGTGTGTGTATGTATGTGTGTATACATGTATTTGTACAATATACACATGAGTACAATAATTATTTCCATATTAATATCTAAGTATGCTTAAAATAATTTGTTATTAAATATTCTTAAAGAAAGGTTAAATATACCTTACACATAATGGAAAAATATAATTAAATAATATAACTAATCTCATCATTAAACTATTAAAATATACAAACCTCCGAATTATTTCGTATATAAGTGGTAATATTTCAATATCTAAATCGTCTACTGTAAATTGTGGACGTAAAGTGCTTTCCTCTGACAATTCTGATTCCATTACAATTATTTTAATGACATATCAAACAATTACAACATTTTATGTATTTCTATGAGTGTTTTTATTCGTTTGATTTAAATCGTGTCGTTATGTCGTTGATTAGAAGTTATCCTTAAATAGTAACTTTCTAGTTGTAACTAATTTCACGATCTTCACCTTCACTTATAGCTCAATTCAGTATGGTTGATTTCTTCCTTCTTTAACATCGATAAGAAACAGAAGGTAGTGTTTATATTAATTCATGTTAATCTTGGAATATCTAGGCATATACTAAACATCCTTTTATTTTACATTGTGTAAAACTATTAAATAAGCACATACAAGTATTATTTTTTTATTTATTTAATATTTTTGTTTATTATTAATAGTTAATATGGGGCGCCGACCAGCTAGATGGTATGTATTGCACGTATTTATTTTCTTTATTAATGTTTTAATATTTATATTTAGTATACTTTATAAGATTATAAGTAGTATATTCATGATATTCTTTTATAATTCATGATATGAAAGGTTATAGTACACATTTTTTATATCTCATGTTAATAAATTCTGTATTTTATTATTAATTATGATTATTTTGGATATGAATTGTTTATATTTTTCTTTATAGTTATCGATATTGTAAGAACAAACCTTATCCCAAATCAAGATTCTGTAGAGGTGTGCCTGATCCAAAAATACGTATCTTTGATCTTGGAAAAAAGAAAGCATCTGTGGAAGATTTTCCTCTGTGTGTCCACTTGGTATCAGATGAATATGAACAACTTAGTTCTGAGGCTCTTGAAGCTGGACGTATTTGTGCAAATAAATACATGGTAAAAAATGCTGGGAAAGATCAGTTTCATATTCGTATGAGATTACACCCATTCCATGTTATTCGAATCAATAAAATGTTATCATGTGCTGGAGCTGATAGGTACATGAATAATTTATTACATTTTATCAAGTAACTAATAGTGTAGTTCAGATTTATTTAATATTTTATAATTTTAATCATTTTTATATCATCTATTAATATA